CCCCCCCCCCCTTCAAAAAACTTGGACTCAACCCGGACATCATGAATAGTCCTGCCACATTTCCAATTTGCCCTTTCTGTCTCAAATACTGGAATGTGTAGTCTCCTCCACCCATCTGAAAACCCTCCTCAACTCCAACAACCTATTACAAACCAGTATTTGATCACAACACAGCACTGAATCAGTCCTCCTCAAAGTTACCAATGACCTCCTCCTCTCCTCAGACTCTGGACACCTCAGCATCCTCATCCTCCTTTACCTCACTGCAGTTTTCGACACCATCAACCACCACCATCCTTCTGACCGGCACTGCTTTCTCCTAGCTTTCCTCACACACTGACAACAGGTCATTAATATTAACAACTGCACCTGCTCCCCTGTCCCAAGGTGTCCCCCGGGGTTTAGTGCTTGGTCCTCTCCTCTTGATCTTCTAGCTTCTTCCCCGTCAAATCATGCCCTGCCCTGGCCTTCACTTCCACTGCAACGCAGATGATACTTGAATGCAATGCAACTTCCTCAATCAATCCCAAATGAATGTCCACAAACAAGTTCATTCTATAACATTTCTCAGACATCATGGTCGTAGTCAACGGATGATGTCTGCTCAGTTCTCATGGAGATGGGGCTGGTAGATACTAGATAGTTTGATTTTAACCATAAAACGTTCAGGACTTCTGTTATGAAAAAATAAATGCTATTTTACAATTGGAAATCGGCCTGATTGACACATTCAGTATGAGTGAGAGTGCATTAAAAATCATCTTTGACTTTGTTCCTCTCTGGGCTTGTCCAACTACCAGAGATAGACCCAGACTGGAGGGCTTATATCTCATCTGGCCTTTGAATGCCCTGTGATCCCACATGAGTTTGATGGTTTCTTTGAGAAGGAAGTGTGAAATTCATTGCTCAACTTTATACCACTATATTCCAGCCCTGAGTGAATGGGATAAAGTCGTGTGATAGAACAATACAAATCTACATCTGCTGGCGAAAACATTGTCATACATCTCATACAAAGAATCAAAGAACTCAAGGAAGCAGCTGTTACTAACGGCAGTGGTTCAGTCTGTAGGGGATTGGACCGGTTCACGTTCCGATCGGAACAACAAATATGGAGTGTGGACTGGTACTGGAGAGGAGCCGTGTTCACCTCCTGGGCCATTGCCGAAGTGCCCTTGAGCAAGGCACCTAACCCCCAACTGCTCACTGGCGCCGGCTAGACTGGCTGCCACCGCTCTGACCTCTCAACTGCATGTGCATGTGTGCATATAACTGTATGTGTATTTGTACATGTGCATGATGTACACATGTAAAAAGTGTGTACTGTGTGTACTGTATGTACTTGAATGTATAAAAACAGAGTGGAAACTGATTAATAAAGGTCCTTCTTCTTCTTCTTCTTCTTCTTCTTCTTCTTCTTCTTCTTCTTAACACTCCTGCAATGTCGGCAGTTAAGTTTGATAGCTCGTCAAACATTTTGAATATATTAATTCAACCATCTTCTTGAGATTGGCTGCCAATCACAAACGACAACTTGTGATCGTGATACCGGTACAACTGTGGCTGCAGACATTTGTCACTGTTTCTCATTGCATTTCCAGTCTCTTCCATTCACTCTCATATATATGCACAGAATTTCCAAAGGAATAGGAAATACCAATGGGTTCAACTAAACCCCCCAGGTTAATTCAATAGGACTTACGGTGAGTCTGTGTTTGTAAAAGATTTAGAGTGAAGAAGAGAACCCCTTGGCCTGCATTGTATAAACAGCTCCGAGGTCAAGTGTTGCAATGCATTATTTATATTTTAAAATGTAGTTTTGCAGAACAAGTTATTTTGCGGATAGATGTCTGAATGCCAATTTTCTATTGCCTGGTAAAACAAAGTAAGATATAATTTCGCAATATTTACGTGATACTTTATGGGTGACATATTACTAATGCTATGTACTAAGTGTTTGTAATGCAATACTGAAAACAAATTCCACTGGCTTAAGTGAAGTGACATGATAAAATGCATTATTTGTGTCTTTTATGTAACATGTGGCCTTCAGATTATTATGAAGGGATTTAGGTATGGTAATATTTGAATACAAATGTGCACTTCTTCACATTTGTATCATTCCTAAAGGGAGCACATTTCTACCTTCCAAGATGTCAAAAGCCCTCAGGCTACATCGTGACAAGCTTTCAAACATCCACCTGCTGCAGAAAAAAAATAAGTGTCTAAAAAATGTAAGAGTTTCACATTATGTAGAAGTTATCTGTTTATAACGATAAATTATTTGAGTAATTTAGGTTGTTTTCCACTTCGGTCCCCCAATATGTCAAAGGTGTTGAATCAGCGTATTTACTTAAAAGTCCTTGGGCATTTGTCAATCTTGATAATCTGCAGTTTTATAAGTATATCCTCATGTCTCTCTTTGGGAATAGGCTGGGCATGGAGCACGATGGCCAAGGCAACCGCTGCGGAGACGAAACTGCGATGGGAAGCGTGATGGCTCCACTGGTACAGGCAGCCTTCCATCGATACCACTGGTCCATGTGCAGCGGACAGGAGCTGAAAAGATACATCCAGTGAGTCCATGTTGGCAGTTTACATCCACAGATTGATCACTAATGTATCTATTATCTGGAAAGCACTCAGAGAACTCAAACCTCTATCAGGGCTAAAAAAGAAACTTGTTTGACCGCTAGAAAATCTTTTTCATCTGCATCTGCTTTAAAAAAAGCATGAAGATATGTCATGCTAAATGGTTGCCATCATTTTTATTGGAATGAATATAAGCAAAGTGAATGTCAAATCATGATCATTAATTTATTGTGTTGCTTCAGCCATTTGTTAAGAAGAAAAGCTGATATATTTAGCTGATTTTTAACAAGCCACATCTGAATTTCTTTGAAAACAACAGTATTGAAACATTCTGGCATAAGAAAAAACAAAACACATTTCTTAAAAATAAAAAGTGATTAGATCATTTGTTAAGAAAACTTTTGGAACCAATGGGCCGATATCTACAACATTTTACAGTTCAGAAGCCAAATTCTAAAGTGCCCCATACTGTAATTGGTAACATGGTGCCACTATTTGCATCATAACATATTCCTATCAAATAGAAGTACTACAATTTGTTGAGCAATTTTTGGGAAATTCTCTTTAATAATAACCTTAGGCAACCTATATTTATAATGCCTTGGGAACACACTTAAGTGTACCTACATTAACACCATTAACCTGCAGCTGTCTTCCAAAAGCAATTAAACTGTTTGATACTCTGTTTGAAACCAATACTTGCAATATTTTCCATTATCCAACAGTGACAGGGACCTTGACTTTTTCATTGAGCTGCTCAAAAATCAATTCCTAACAGTGAAATGCTCAGCAAAGTGAGAGACAACAATGGCTTTGTGAAATCAATCAGCACACAGTTTTTTTTAGAGCAGCTTCCGGCTATTTTAATTGGATCCATTGCAGCAATAAATCCATAAACGGTATTAAAAGTGTTAATGCTGTGTGATAATGTTGGATGATACAGCTTTGGTTCTGAGATGGAAAGAGAAAGCTTAGGTAGACAGCTGTGCAAAGATGTGCAAGGTGCTCATTTATCACTTATAAAAAGGAACATACGATTTGTCAGTTTAACAAAAGGCGACCATGATGGCATTTACTGCAGCTGAGGCATTGTTCACCACCTGGCCATATGCAACCAAATGTGTCCTCAAACTGAAATACAGGTGCAGAACTGTCATTGAAAGAAGAAATGATACATGCTCTGTGAAAACTGTGTGTAGCATTCAGTTAGAATATTTGCACACAGGCTTTAAAGCATTGTATTTTCGAACAAACAGTAATTAGAAGCTGCAGAACAACAAAATGCTAAATTGTAGGATGCTTTGCTTTTCACTTAGAGCAAGGAACATACAGTGCATTTTCAAATAAAGTATTCGATAATGGCTGACTTTCAATCAATTGGTAAAAAGTCTTACATTTCAGATAACATCCATTTCTGCACCACTTACTTTATTGGTATATCAGCAGTCCTGTCATATTAAACACTGAGCTGATCTGAGTTTTAGTCTGCCAACTTTGCATTACTGTCAAAGAAACACCTCCTGCCAGTGTTTTACAATCAAAGCCGTCATGTAAGCTTTGATTTTAAAACATCTGCAGAAGTTTGAGTCTCTGGGGGGATTTTAATGTGAAAAGATCTGTGCAGTAAGTTTGGAGTTGAATATAAAACAATAATTTTGTTTAAAATGTAGGATATATGCTATAAAGTTGTGAGTATGAATGGACTGTGTTGTTTCCATGAATGTAATTCTGTGGAAACCAGAAACAAAGAGTTACATTTCATTCAGTCTCTCTGTCTACACAGACATGTTGATAATCAGCTAAATTATTTAAATAATATATTCTTTTAACAGAAACTTGCAAAGTATTTTGTCAGCTTTTTAAAATGTGAAATGAGCAAAACCTGCAGTACAAGCCAAGTCTTGTTATTTGTTAGAATACTTTCAAGTATTTTAAAAACATATGACTATGATTTTTATTGTGTAGTCAGGCTAGAATTGTTTTGCACCTGTTAGCCTTAAAAACCCTTAACAAGTCTATTTTTAAAGAATTTCAGTTTGACTCTTTCAAGTTTAACACAAGTTATGTCGCCAATTTTGCAATAGAAGAATACAATTAACAAATCAATGACTATAAAGTGAGAAACTGTTACTTACATTAAATAGATCATAACACTGTATTTGATTATTGCCACATTACCCACAGCTACCTGCAGCTCTACTTGGAGTGTGATATTACACTGATGGATTTAATGCAGTAGAATGTTATGCCAAATGTATCAAAGGAACAGTTTGAATTCACTGCAGCACATTTTAAACTGGAGTAATCAGTTAGTGAGAAAGGTTTGACTCTTATATATGTCTATTTGGTCCTGTGATTAAAGTATTTCAAGGCCCCAGTAGACTAATCCATCTAGAGAAATGATTTAACGTTTTAAAAAATGTTCTCTTCAGTGCTTGACTTCGGTGTCACCTCTTCTTTCCCGACAGCACGTATGACTGTCTCCTAGATGACCCCTTCAAACACGACTGGCCGCAACTCCCTGAACTTCCCGGCATCAACTACTCGATGGATGAGCAGTGTCGATTTGACTTTGGAGTGGGCTATAAGATCTGCACCTCGGTGAGTGCTGCACTCAGGTTACCATTTGGAGGACTGAACAGTGTAGACTCAAAAACCTTGTCTGTAAGAGGGCCCAATTTACTTTAAAATGATAACAACTTTAGTTGAGAAAAGCAGGTCAGACCTGCTGAGGCTCTGCAGAAAGCCACACAGCCGAGGATGATTGCAGTCTTCAGAGAAACTGATTTTCAAATATCAGCAGATTCCTCCAAGCAAAATCAGATGCTAGATTAGGGAGCACTTCAAACAGATATCTGCTTACAGTCACACCTGCTTAATATTATATTGCGTTTAGCCGACACTTTTATCCAAAGCGACTTACAATAAGTGCATTCGACCAAGAAGATACAACCTTGAAGAAAACAGAATCATATAAGTACATCAGGTTTCATAGAGCCAAACATTTCAAGTGCTACTCAACTGGCTTTAGATAAGCCAGTCCTTTATTAGTATATAAGTGCTTTGTTAGTAATTCAATTGCTCGAAGTGGAGTCTAAAGAGATGAGTTTTCAGTCTGCGCCGGAAGATGTGACAGCTATCATTCCACCATTTTGGAGCCAGGATAGCAAACCCACGTGTTTTTGCTGATGGGAACTTGGGTCCCCCTCGCAGTGAGGGTGCAGCGAGCCGTTTGGCTGATGCAGAGCGGAGTGCACGTGCTGGGGTGTACGGTTTAACCATGTCCTGGATGTACGAAGGGCCAGATCCATTCGCAGCATGGTACGCAAGTACCAGTGTCTTGAAGTGGATTCTAGCAGTTACCGGAAGCCAGTTAAGGGAGCGGAGGAGCGGCGTGGTGTGGGAGAATTTAGGAAGGTTGAAGACCAGACGAGCAGCTGCATTCTGGATGAGCTGCAGAGGTCGGATGGCACATACAGGTAGTCCAGCCAGGAGGGAGTTGCAGTAGTCTAGGCCAGTGGTTCTCAAATGGGGGTACGCGGACCCCTAGGGGTAAGTTGGAGTACTGCAGGGGGTACGTGAGATTTATTTGATGTTAATGAAAAAAACAACATGCATTTAAACAAACTACTAATAGTAGATTAACTACTTTATTCAAAGGTTTACAGTAATTCTGGATAATAAAATGGGAAAACTAAACGGGGTGCTCTCTTTTCCTCTCCCTCTCCTGACAGCCTGTTAGTCTCGTGCAGCTCGCTGAACCTGTAATAAGTGACCCGACAGTAAAGAATACACATATGTATAACTAGTATAGCTAGTTCCAGAGTATATAAACTACCCCAGTTCTCAGAGTAACATGTAGTGAGATGTCTCTTACCTAAGTGTGTTAGGTCTAACTCTTAGTGTATTTAATTTTGCTCCACTCAACGGTCCGCGGCGGAGCTGTGATCATGCAGAGCTGCGTGTTCTCCGTC